CAAAAAGCAATATTGACAAATACACTTTAAAATCAAGACTAATGGTAATGAAAGCTCACAAAAGATACATTTATTCCTGGTGGAAAATTAAACATTTGCTTATAATTTCAGATTAAAAAGACATTTCTTACAGACTGCTACATGAACATAAACAACTGTCCATTTCAACAAACTTACCTCGTCTTTAGTATATTCAAAAACTGTAAAATTTCTGAGAACTGTATCAACCTTAAGGCCCTTAAAAACCTCAAACCTGTGACAAAAGAAATAGAGAAAATGGTCAGAAAACATCATCATATCAAACAAGACAGGTGACATTCGGTCATCGCGTATCAACAGCCTCATACCTTTCAAACATTCATTCATCCTTATCATCTTCAGTGAATTCATGCTGATTCTACAAAGCGCTGAAGCTGATCAAGCAGCACTACGCACTTACTGTTTTAAAAGACACACTTTGGAAAAACAGAACAAAAAACTAGACATCCCAGCTAACTTCACATCAACACATGGCGCTCTTTGTGATCCCAGGAGCCTTGCCTAACGCAAGCAGCGTTCCTGCTAGGTAAAACGCGGAACATGGAGGAAATGAAAACCCTAGATTAGAATAAAGACAGGTGGGGGCTGACATGGCAAACTAAATGAGTAAACAGACGTGACGTCAAATCCCAAAATTTGAGGGTATTTATGGAAGAAAAAAAAATGTCCCTGTCTGCTGCCAACAGTTCAAGGACAACATAACCAATAAAATCAGCTGTGCCCGCGCCAGCCTAAGCTTCTGCTTCATATTCAGATGTTTAATCACATCCCTGTATCTGCTACAGAAAATACAGAAATGGCATTTCTGTATAAAATGTAAAAAGCTCTAATCATTTCCTTGTAAATACATTTTTATAAATATATACTGTACATGTCTGCAGGGATAAACCTGCCAAACGCAACCCCAATCCAGCTTTAAAGGCAAATGATTTGCTAATTTGCAATTCAGATGGAAAAAAGTGCATCTGCATCAGATCTGTGCCTCAAGAACAACAAACAATTAGTCAGGTCAAATTAAATTAATCTTCACATGAATTGATTGGGCTGAAAAATCTCCACGCTAGAGAGAATTTTAGTGGACTGACTCAGTAAGCTAAATGATAAGTAAATAAATAAGCTTTGTAAAATGAAGTGCTCTACCGACCGCTTTGCCAAGAATCAATTTTCACTTCACATGAACACTGCCAGATGGGACGAAAAATACCCAACAAATCCAGAACCTACTACACATCAGCCTTCAGCTTCAGATAAAGATCCCCCTAAAGTC